CGTTTTTTTAAAACACAGAAAAGCCACTAGAGAGTAGTAATTTCACAGGTATTCCCTGAATAAATATTAGGTTTGGTGAGTGAAAAATCAGGACAAATCACTGAAAATTGACTTAAAATTTTCCTCTCAACTACATTCAGAGTCATGCCAAAATAGAATGACTCCACAGGTATATTTACATATGCATGTATTTTAGTTTCAGATAACAATGCAGTTGTTAAGATCTCTTTTGAATTTGTTTTCTTATGAATTCTCAAGAGTGAAGATTTGAAAGTTAACTGGCTTTTCTATTCAAAATACAGTTCGAGTTTTATTACTCATGGTGAAAAATAAATTATGAGATCACACACACAACTGTTGTAAGGATATAAAACAGGATTTTATTTCTTTAAACAAACCTCCAGAAACTTGGGAATACATTGTTGCATTAGTTACTTTAATGTCATATGACCAAATTATTTCACATAGACCACTTAAGAGAGGAAGGATTTATGTGGGCTTATGGTTTCAAAGGGTATAGTCCACCATGGTGTAGGAGGTACAGCAGAACTCCTCAGTTCACATCGTGGCAGGCCAGGAAACACACACACAAAGAAGTGACCAAGGAGCATATTCTCAGGACTTTCGTCCAGTCAGGCTCCTCCTCCTCAAGTTTCTGTAGCCTCCCAGAGCAGTGCCACCAGCTGCGGATGAAGTGTTGAAATGAAGATCCTGCAGAGGATGTTATATATTCAAATCGCATATTTATCTTTCAGATTCATCCTTTTTATGCCATCCTGAATCCATTGGCTCCATCCTCGAACTGAGATGACAGAGAAATTTTTGTTGCTTTTTCTCTATAAGAAAATAAACAAGACCTTCGGGCTGTCAGTGTGCCTAAGAAAGTAACATTAACCTAAACCAATCCTGCCTCCAACTATTTACTTTTGCTGTAATATAGCTCCATTCATTAAGTGCAGGTGTGTCCGACCTGCCTTCTGAGATGAGGGTGTCCCATTTCCAAAATGCCATGCTGGCAAGATGTTAAGTGACATTGGACACGGAAAGGCAACTGGCATATCCTTTGGCATGTGGACAGCAAAAATGTCAGGCTCCCTTTGTGAAAAGATGTAGAGTAGCCCAGAGAAAAGGGCAAAGAATGAACGATGGAATATGTAGATATCACATAGCATTTATGCAAATGTAACAGCTAGGCACCAACAGTTTTACGAGTCTATCCATCTGGAAGAATACAGTACAGAGAATTACCTTTCTCTTTAGTTTAGAAGCTCCAATCAGAATAATTCCTAGGACCATTCCCCTCCCTCCTTTTTCTCCCCTCTAGCCTCATCAATCTGTTTATTCATTCAGAGACTCTATTTTTCCCTGTGTCATTTTGCTTAGAGGGATGCTTATCTTAGAAAACTCTTGTCATTGATTATCACTATAGACAATAAACAGTAACAGTAAACAGATACACTATAGTTTATGTGTTGGGCACAGGAGACACTCAAAGCCCTCTGAGGAGCTCTTTGATGTTAAAGGCACTGATCTCTTCATCTTTATTAGTAATCCCTCAGTAAAGACTCATGTGTGAAAAAAAGATAAGAGGCATCTTCTCGGTGGTGGATATGGCCATTAGATAGGGGTAAGTTTGGAGCCATTCAAAATGGTTACAAATTTTAAATTCCAGTAGGTATTCCCTGTCATGCCCAACCTGTGGCCACACGCATGTGAAGATAGCTATGAATATGTGTAAACACAGAATTGTAAACTTAGTTAAATCTTTATGTAATTTTGTTTTGGTAACTTGACTACACAGTGGCTCTCAACCGTGAACTTTTCAGATGACAACTTGGTATTAAATGCCAAAAAGCTGGTCATACCATTAATCAACATACAGAGCTATAAGCAACAAAAGTCAATGGCTGGAGTATCCACACACATCCAAGGAGCAGCTGTGGCTATGGCCAAACACAAAATCACATCACATAGACCTTCTAGAACTCTGTGAGAAATTTGTTTGTCCTTGACTTTTTCACTAAATGACATCACCCTTGGAGCCACCAGCCAATGTTGTGACTAATGCCTGTTCTTGCAAAAGCTGAATCAGAAACTCACGAAGTAGGGCACGCCTCAGCAGGTCACCCTTTGACGAAGTGCAGCTTCGTGGAACGATGTTCTTTATGTTCATTAATACATATCAGACACTTTGATAAGGCCAGGCTTAGATTATTAACCAAAAACACAGCCCTTGACACCTAAAAATCAAAGCTTCTTGTAAATGTAGTCACAAACATACCAAAACAGGTATGGCGGTGCCAATTGTTTCCCAAGAACACAGCGTCCCCAGTACTTACATGACTTGTTGTCTGGCAGATCCAGGTCTGGAGCCAGGGAGTAGGGCAACTGTGGGCAGAGAAAACAGCTATGGCCAGAATGAGATCCTGACTACATGTATCCACACAGGAGGGAGGCATAGGTAGATATAAATATTTTACAGATGACAAAGCTGCTATGTAATTCACTCATGATTTTAAGATATTGTTTATTCATTCCTTTTAAATCATGAAAAGTCCGGAGGTCAAGGCATCCTTAGGACTACATAGGCTTTGACCTAGAGGATCTCAACTACTATGCAGAGAACACATCTGCTGGGGGCAATTATATGGTACTCATGCTAAAGTGAGTGCCCACCATGCTGTTCCAGACGTTTCTACTTTTAATATTTGGCTACAGCAGTCTTTTGCAGCAGCTTATATACTTTATGATTTCATGAAGTGCATATTTTATTGTATAAAAATATATATTTTATAGTTCTTAGTACATGAAACAAATAACAAAGGGAACCCTTCTATTTGTTGTGTTTCTTTAAACCCTAATTGATAAACCATGACATGGGATTAGAAGCATAGGTCATTGGGTAGAGTGCTTGCTGTGCACGCATGAAGCCCTGGATCCTGTCTCCAGCACTGCATGGACCACTCCTGATAGTACATAAATGTCATCCCAGTACTTGGGAGGTGGAGACTTGAGAACCAACAGTTTAAGTCATCCTCTACTACATAGCAAGCTTCAGAGGCCAGCCTGGGTTCACATGAGACCTAGGGGAAGGAAGGAAGAAAGGAAGGAAGGAAGGGAGGGAGGGAGGGGAGGGAGGGAGGAGAAAACATCACAGTAACCATGACATCATTATCACTACCAGCTTTAGAAACCTTGAAATGGATAATAAATATTATCATTATGATAAAAAGCTCTATACTCATATTTGACAGAATTAGCCCACAGTTTAATTGTATGACTTTTAAGTTATGTAATTATATTTTCCTGGAATTATTTACTATTATAATTATGTAAAATATCTTTATATTCAGGAACCAGAAATAGAGTTATCTTAGCAGCAATGTTGGTTGGATACTTTTCATTTTGCTTCCCATTCTCGTTCCTACTATTAGATCTTCAGTAACAACCCAACACCTACCAGTTAGTCCTTATAAAGCTGCTCTAATTCGAACAGAGGGGATTTGCTACTTTGCGTTCTCCTTGCTTTGTCTTGATTTGATCTGGTTCAACCCTGGCATTTATTTAATCAAGAATAGGTTGGAAGCCATTCGGCATAAAGACAGTGGGAAAACAGAAATCTCAAATAGCAGCTCCTCATTGCCACAATAAACTTAAGCTCAGCTTAATGCAACATTATAACATAGTACATGAATTTAAAATATAGAGTTATGGGAAATACACATAATATAATTATTTAAATTGAGGTCACTTTTAAGTCAGGTTAATAAAAAAATCCTTCTCTTGTACTTTATAAAATATCTTTATGAAATAATGTTAGTTTCTTTAAGCTTGTCAGCATTTACTCTGGTAAAAAATTAATTGATGTCTAATCAAAGAGAAGGGCTCTTCACTTACCAAGAACTCCCGACACAATCCCCAGAAACATCTCAAAAACATAGTTCAAGAAATAGACTAGATTTTATTATGTTGACGATAATGTAGGATTTGGTTTTGTCTATATTGTTAGTGTTATAAGCAAATTTATTTCTTGGAACACTG